CTTTCAGTAGTTAGAAATAACAGACATTTATTCATTTATTTGGGGGCAATTGTAAATAAATTTCTTTTTAACTACAATCATTTCTTCACCTGACATATTCCCATATATTATATACCTGTTTTCCACAAAGATTTATTGTCTTTTGTGTCTCTCTCTCTTTTTTTTTCTTTTTTTTTTTGCTACAGTGATATGGTTTACTGTGGTGTATATGACAATGCCTTGGATAATGATAACTACAATGTGGCTAGAGGATTTAATTACCATCAAGGACCTGTAAGATTTGGGCTTCAGCATTTTTTATCAGTAGATTTTGTTCTTCCTTACCAAAAATATTCATTCATGATTCTGTTTTTGTTGCTTTATTTTTAAAGGAGTGGCTTTGGCCTATTGGATATTTCCTTCGTGCCAAATTATACTTCTCCAAATTAATTGGTCCAGAGTTCTATGCAAAGACTGTATTTTTGGTTAAAAATGTTCTTTCTCGCCATTACGTACATCTTGAAAGGTACTCATTCTCTTATACAACTTTAAATGTTACTGTTGGATAGTATCCATTCTGATGCTCAGTCCAAAATTAAATAGATCTCACAATTTGGATATTTATATGCACAGCAGAAATTGGAAGAAGTAGATAAGGAAGTTGCCTGCAGATGTTCACATTATGGTAATGTACAGTGTAACCACCAGTTAGACTGGTTCATCCTTTTCGTAATCTGCTTAGCGCAGAACCTATGAAATGGAACTAAGAATATTGTTTTTAAGCTACAGACAAGCCTGTGAGATTTGAAACATTGTGAGCAATAGGAAATGTGATTTTTACAGAGTTTGGAAAGATTTGAGAGAGAGCCAGACATTTTGCTGAATGAGGGATTCTGAGAGCTATAGTCCAAAAATTTTACATTTCCAAATTAAGATACTTCATTCCTGAATGATTCTTCCATTTGAGGTAACTATCAGTCCAATGTACCAGTAGCAGTCAGTATGTCTATGGACTATGCACAGCAGTTACATAAAGACCTCCTGTGGCCAGGAATGGGAATGGAGAAATATATGGCAGAAAATACATTGATCAAGAAGTATGGATACCAATCATTGTTACCTACAAGGGGCAAAGTTTGTGTTTTCTGTTTCCCACCCCTGTAGTTAGATTGTCCACATAAGAAAGTTTCCCAGAAAAAAGTCAGTTCTTTGATGAAGCCAAAGCGGTGGGGTCTTTGTGCTTCTGTTCTGTCTTATGCAAGGTGATTGATCACATGCATGAATAAATTGCAATGTCAAATCTTCTTTTTGGAAACTAAAAACAAACAAACAAACAACAACAACAGTGTGTCCAACCTCACAGTAATAAATGGACACTGTGAGAGGTTATAGTTTTCCATCCCCATTCTTTGGTATAATAGCATGTCAATGAAGGACATGCATATACTATTCTCAGGCCTGAGAGCTATATATTTTGAGTCAGTGGACTGGTGCTACAACCCTACTCCTATCCAGATCCTGGGAACCCACTTTGCTTGGCCACGGTAGTAGTAATGGAGAAGAAGATTTTACTACTGTACAGGACAGGAAATTTAAAGGCAGCCCAGGGAAAAGGAGACTAGACAACAAAATTATATATACAAAAACCTCTTTCCCCATCATCATTGGTTAATAGCGGTAGCTTTGATTTTGCTTTCAGTTTATTAACATAGGTTTAATAAAACCTGCACACAAGTCTTAGCTTTTTCACAAAGTTGCAAAAATAATACTTTTGCATTGTGTGAAGAAACTAGGACTGAAATTAGTTGTTTTAAAGCAGCTTTAATCCTGGAGATGTAAATTCTTTTCTTGACCATCTGGAGCTCTCCTTCCTTTCTTTCTCTTGTACTGGTGACTTAGCACTTTTTTCTTTCTTGATAATTGTTTTGTTTTGTTCTGTTTTAAAAATACTAAATTAGAAATAAAAGTAAACTAGACTGCCCAGTTCATTTCTCATTCCTAGCATGCTGTTAAACATACATATTCCTTACTTATGTGAGATGTCTTCTTTTAAGCTGATAAATGAAAATAGATATTGCTGCTGAGTTGGTAATAATATAGTAATATATTGACTGTGTTTTCCTTACAGATCCCCTTGGAAGGGTCTTCCAGAACTGACTAATGAAAATGGTCAATATTGCCCTTTCAGCTGTGAAACGCAGGCCTGGTCAATTGCTGTGATTCTTGAGGTTCTTTATGACTTGTAAAAATGATTATTTGTCTTTAAAACACATACACACACATAGTTAGCTCTTGTCCTGAATGCAAATAACCGTGCTTCTCCCGTAGTTAATGTCCTGCTTTTCAAAATGGTTTGTGCCTGCACTTCCCAAACACTTGTAGAAGCATTGGCAGGGGGAAGCGGAAAGAGTTCATCCTTCAACAATTGCACCATACATTTTTTTTAATTCATGAAGAAACCAAGGCCAAATCCTACTAGAGTGAACCCATAGAATCAATGAGATTTTTATTTAAGTGTTGACCGCACCCGTCAACAATTGTTTCTGGTCTTTCTAATTGGAGCTAACAATGAGATTCTGGCCTGACATAGTGCCATCATTGAGAATATATTCAGATATTTTAAGAGTAACAGTTATACGAAATCTTATAATGACAAATTTTAAATGTACAATCTCTTGCATGCAGCAAGATTTTATGGAACTCCTAGTTTAATTTTCTTTTCCCAAGATTTTGCCATGAAACCTTCATTATGAAAACAAGTAGAAGGAACTGAAGGCCAAACTAGCCATGTTTAAATCTAGGCCTGCCATAGCAATGTAGAAATTGAAGGGTAAGGGGATCATGTTTGGCAAAATGAGCATACAGGTGTGGAGTGTGGAAACCTCATACAAAACTGCCATTTACGTGTCTGCAGAACCTCCTATCTGCAAGTTCCAATATCTGAACCTAGCTAAAAGATCAGTGTCATCAGAAGACAACCAACTTGAAGAACAAAATTGGAGAAGCAAGACTTTTGCTAAGAGTGGGGTAGGTAGGGAATTGTACACCTAGCTCACACACCTTGTTTGCTCTTAAAATTGGACTGCCAAGGCTGCCCAAGGCTTCTTATCTTATCAGATTATCAAATTGAACTTCTGCATCAAAAGAAATCTCTTCTCACCCCTTTTTTGCAAAAACACTTGGGTTGCTATGGGGATGAGAAGAAAGAAAATGCTTTTTAGCAAGAAGTTCTAAGACTCTAGATTGCCATTGTGTTCTGTGATTAGTGTAGCACTGGGGATTGTATGGCATACTGGATGTTACTGAACTGTGATTCCCAGCAGCCTTGCCAGCATAACCAGTGGTGAGGAATGGTGCAAGTTGCAGTTCAACCACATGGAAAGGGCCTCATAAGGCAACCTTGGTTTAATGATTGTATCTGGAATTCACTACCCTGTGCCATTATTTCAGTGACAACTGCCAGATTAGACAATTATGTCTTCTACAGATGGAAAGAGTAAGAGATGGCTTAAATTACAGTGTAGTGACAATGCAGACTTGCTGCCTGTTTTTAATTTGTCTATGTAATAATAGTAATGATTTTTATAGTGTCCCTTCATAATTAAATCACTGTTGTTGAACATTTATCTCCAAAAAAAGAATTAAATAGTTGGTGGTTTATATGATAACATGCTGATGATAGAGGCATGCAGACAAACAGTTTAGAGATAATACTACTGCAGCTACATTGTGGTATACATTGCCTTTTAAAAGCTGGTCTTCAATTTGTTCTCATTGGTGCTTTGATATCAAGAATAATTTATAAGATCTTAATAGTCGACACTTGCACTACTATTTCTTTTAATAAGCCTAATTGTGTGAGCAAGTTCCATCTAAATCATTTGAATGCTTTTTCATTAATAAAGAATAAAATTCTACTGTAAAAACTTGGTTTTGACATTCCTAACCATTTCCAGTCATAGTAATGAGGGGCTAATTATGATTCTAAGTATCCAATTTTGTTGTGGGCTTTCTTTAAAACCTCATTTACAAATAGATAACTAACATTCATTTGTTGCTTTTTAAAGTCTTACACACACAAAAGTTGTTAAAATTCCCCACTAAATTTTCTTTTCCAGTGAATATGTCCTCATTATAATGCATTTCTTGGAATTTATAAGGCATTTTATTTTTTAAAAAATTGAACCTGCAGTCCTACCTCACTTAATGTGTGCCATCAAACTCAGTGGGTTATACTTTTGGGTGGGTGTTTGTAGATTTGCTCTGTTACATATTTAGAAAAGAACAATTAAATCTTAATGAGCTTTCATAGTAAATTTTCCTCGATTCCAAAACAACTGAAATCCTTACTCAACTTAGTTGCTGCAGTAAGAAATTTAAACAAAAACAGGTGTAAGGAAAGTGCAGCTTGTGGGATGCACGTGGCCTTAAGCACCATTTTTGCACCCCCAAAGTCCTCCTGGTGACCCCTGAAACCTTCCAACCCACACAAAAAATAATCATTTTCCAGTTATTTGGGGACCTTTTTTTTCTCTGAAAAATAGCCAAAATGACCCAACACCAGTCACAATTGTGGCAATTATATCTCCCATCCCAGAGCCCCCCAGATCACCCAAAAGTTTTTAAAAAACCTAGCCAAAGAATCAGCCATAAATGTGGCCAGAAGTGATACATCACTTTTGGTGTAGCTGGAATGCAACAGTATTGTCTGCAGAGTGAGAATTGGTCCCACCTCACACACAGCTCCCCAAATTAAAGTACAGATATATTTGATCTCACCTTTTTGCCTTTGGTTTTACCTGCTGTTGGAATGCAGCCCCACAAGAACCCCTCTTTTAAAATGAATTCACCCTCAGTCATAAAGGCTGGTTTTGTAGTTGTTGTGTGCCTTCAAGTCATTTCTGACTTACGGTGAACCTTTCATGGGGTTTTCTTGGCAAGATTTGTTCAGAGGGGATTTGTCATTACCTTCTCTTGAGGCTGAGAGCATGTGACTTGCCCAATGTCACCAGTGGGTTTCATGTCTGAGTTGGGAATTGAACCCTGGTCTCCAGAGTCGTAGTTCAACACTCAACCACTGTGCCACACTGGGTCTCATTAACCATGAGCTAAACAAAACATGAATGCCCACGAAAAGACTTTTAACAGCAGAAGAGTGACCCATAGATTAATTCATTCTTTCTCCATTTCTAAGCAGTTGCTTTTCAGCCAAACTTCAATGCCAAAAAACACCTCAGGTGGAGTAACATTATCTGAAAAGTATAGCTGTTAAAAGTTGAGCAAGAACTTGTGTGATCCTTTTGTTGTTAAACTTGGATCACTCACCACATCTTTCTTTGTTGGTTGGGGCAGTTCTGACCCTATACTCCAGATCTGAAGCAAGGCAGGTTTATATCAGCACAGAATCTGAAGACTTAAAGTTTAGATACCGTATTTTCCGGCGTATAAGACGGATTTTTAACCTGGAAAAGC